AGGCTCGCCCCGGCCCGGGAGTTATAGCCCCTTCTGTTCACAGGGAGAGAGCGACTCGTCCTTCCGCTCCCCGCACACGGAACCTCCCGTGGCCCTGTCCGGGAGCTCTGCGGCCCCGGCGTCGCTCCGGTCAGGCAGGGCCACAGCAGGCTCGGAGCTCCCCGACGGTCCTCCAGCGCGTCCGTAAAATGCCTCATAAGGTAGGCTGGATATTTTCATGGCCTCTCTGCCCGTCAAAGATGTCCCATTTTCAATTTTGGCCAAATGGTATTCCATTTTCAGACAGACGTCACCAGAGAATAAAGCTTTTACGTTTGTTTTCCTGCTAGCACCAAGCCTGACACTGCAGCAGGAGACTGAGGTGCAGAGAAAACCCACAGGAAAATCCTGCCACGCAAGGAAAGGAGCCATGACCAGCGCGTCCACTGACGACAGCACCCCAGTCGCTGCCCACGCGTGTCCCTTCCCAGGTCCCAGGCCACGCCAGGAGCAGAGGAGCAGCCCCACCAGCTGCAGAAGCAGACATACAGTCAACAATGCCTATTTACATTATTCACGTTATAAAAAAGACAGTCTGCCTCATTGCTTCTATCACCCAGCACAATTCAGCACTAATTTGGAGTAGAGTAGATGTTTTGTTTGCCGTAAGAGCAGCTTGGCTCATGGCTTCAGTATTTTCATGGTTCATCTGCAAGACCTTCGGCATTTGTCCTCAATGACTAGCTCTTCAGATTATTTGCAGACTGACTTTACCAGTTGTTCTGCACTAGAATAAATCAATCTGTCCTGTTAAGCAACAGGACAGCGGCTTTCATGCTCATACGAACTGCACTTGAGCATCTGCTCTTACTACTGTCTTCTGCTGCTGTTTCTGCCTGTTCTCTCACAGCCAGCTTTCAAAACAAATCAGGTGCTAGAACTATTGTGCCATACGTACCTGGCAGCTGAGGATTTCCCAAGGCTGTGAGATGATCTCTGGATTTGCTTTCCACAAGCACTGCTCAGCACAGCATAACTCCCTGCTGCCCCTGAAGTCACGATCACAGCCACCCAGCTGCTCAGTCTGCCCATTGCCGAGCCCCCTCTCTTGCTGTTTCTTGTGCAGTCTCTTCACTAGTCTCAAAGAGCTACAAATCTCTCCCTGAGCCCTTACACTTGATAGCGCTGTGCTTCCTAAATGGTATCTTTCAGTGCTGACCAAAAGCACAAACAAAAAACCCTCAGGAGTGGAAGACCCACTGCCTCCTCTGCTCCAGGCTGCTGGTGCTGGGGACTTCTTAGAGTTACCGTTTTTTCCCCACCTCCATGCAAGATTCACTCCTGGTATTTACTCCTGTCCTGATACACTCCGTCAATCGGTACAAACGAAGCAAGTAGGACATTCCCGTTTCCCAGGAACTTCTCTGCAGTTTGCTGTCCTGTAAGATCCTTCCCTTAGCAGTCTCCTTCCAGCATATGTGACTTTCCTAAGATTGTCAAGAATAATGCTTTATTGATTGTGTATCACACGAACAATTCAGCATAGTTGTTTACACTCAGCCTCTACTTTGAGCTCTTTCTAAAAAAAAATTATGCACATCATGCACTAATTATAGGTTGCAAGCTTGACACTTTCGCTTTCTCCTGTCTTCCTTTCATCCCTTTCAACAGTTCCAAATGTACTTCACTTCCAAAAATGCTTCTGCCAGCAGCGGTCTCTTTGCGAGCACAGATACAGCGAGATTTTGCCAAGTGCTCACAAAAAGATGTTTGGCAATGCCCTCCAGTTCAAGCTGCATAAGGTACCACGTACCCAAAGGCACCAGTGTGAAAGCAGAACCGAGCGTGCAATCCCATTTAACTCACTAGAAGGCTTCAACACTGGATGAATTGCACTGGTATAAGACTTCTTTTCTTTTCTTCCCATTGCTCATTGCACCATAGCAAGAGAAGCTGTGGTATTAAAAGATTTGACCTTTGGGACTGAATATAGATATAACTAATACTACTATTCTTTTTACCTTTTTCAGAAGCAACAAATTTCTGGTGCTTTACCTTCACTAGAAATTAAAAAGGAATTAAAAGCCATTAGCCAGCATGTGGCAACTTTATGGTTGTACTAGATGATCTTAGAGGTCTTTTCCAACCTATGATTCTATGATTCTGTGATAACTCACTCAGATAAAATATTAGTGAGCCAAGTCAAACAACTCCTAGATATACTAACACATCACACTTTGCGAGGCAGTTACTTCAGTCCTCCTGCCTGAAGGGACTGAGAGCAACAGACCTTAGCAGATTCCTAGAGATTTACCAGCTGAACTGGTAAGAGTCATTCCTGCATGGATGCTGCTGTTCCAAGAGCATTCCCAGAGGGAGTGTTTACCATTTTATTTCCCACAATTAGTCAAGCCCTTGGACAGGAAATACCTATTAGAGATCTAACACAGGTCTCCTAATTTGGATGACAATTGCAAGGAGAGATGCCCTTGGCATTTCCGACACAGAGCTTGGCTTTTGGCATCTCACACACGCTGGACATGTTAGGACATACGTTGCTTTCTTATGTAAGATTCAAACTTTCTTAATCGGATAAAAATTTAGCAGTAAAATGCTACTGCTTGGAAAATGTCTGTTTTGTTTTCCTCTCCCTTGGTTCAAGGTCTTGAATGTCTGTCTTTTTTCCAGTTCCCTCAGGCACTGGATTCTTAACCAGATACTGTTAAGATGCAAAGAGTGGTCCTCTGTCGGCTTGGAGGAATTTATTTATAGGCATTTAAATTCTTTCTTAATCAGTGCACAATCATCCTACAGTCTAATCAATGCATTTTACAGCCAGAGACCCATTTAGTGCTGCAGAGTTTTTCTTTCACTGTATTAAAGACCTCCTAGAAATGGTAAATTACTTCCCTCAAGTAACCATAGCCAAGATTATATAAATAGATAAATAGCTATACAAATAAATTTTGGCTTCACTCTGTACAACCAACAGTTGAACAACAAGTGCAGAGAACTACATAGTTGTTAATTCACAGTGGGTGAACAGTGCAATTTCGTTTCAAGTTTCCCTTGGAGCCAAAATTAAACTGCCAAAGCCTGTAGATTTTCTTTCATCTATTCCAAAATGCCAGCGATTACACCGCTGAGGGAGTGGAACTCTATTCAAGTCCGCACAGGAAAAACATAGGTCTAAACCTAGGTGGAGAGGCAAAGCTACCTGCTGAGCTGGTGTGTGTTAAACACAGAATGAAATTACATTAAATCCCACAGCCAAGGTAGTTGTATATATTTATTCTGTCGAACTGTTGGGTCATTTGACAAGTGCAGATCTTTCCATCTGAAGACTGAGATGGGCTAAGTCCGTTTTATGGGAAGAGTCCAACTGCCCTTTTGACTTGAACTGCTTTTATATGTTTGCAGCCCCTCATCAACTATAACTACATTTCTATAGGGACACCTGAAAGATTTCCTCAATATGAGAAAATTGTATTATTTTGGTCTGGGATTTAAAATAAAATCCCACTGCTGTAAAGGCTGGTTTAGAAGAAAGCACAGTAATCCAAGTGACAAGGCTTCCTCTCCTGCAGGGATCAAAATTCTTTCCAACCCCTCCTTCAAGAGCATACAAGCATTTGAATGAAGTGTCTAGATCAGAGCTTTCCTGGGGGACAGATAAATAACAGCAGTGAGACGATGCTGGAACCATTCTGCTTTCTCTTTGAGGGCACAATAAATGGCATGCCCGTGTGACTCAATGGGAATGTTAACAGAGTGGCAAGGCACACATTTTAGCAACCGTTGCCACTCGTGGGCACATAATTGCCAGCATCTTACATGCAAGCATTAGTGTATATATAGCAAAACCCAAAAGTATTACACAACAGCAGCAAGCTTGCATTGCATTTCAGGAACAACCCTATCCCCAGGCACATTCCTGTTTGCCTCTTGCTTAGAGGAAAGTCTATGATGCCATAGTGCACATATATGTGTATACGTAACACAGAGCCATTCAAATCTGTAGCATCACCAGAAAAAAAAATGAAACAGATCGGCTGCACAGTGCTCTAAGCAGGGTCATCTAAAGACAGCTGCTATCCGTGGAAACTTGAGAATACAAAGTGAGAACGGAGCTTTGAAATGTCTTTAAAGTAGGTAGAACTGTAACAATGTTCTCAAAGGGGAAAACCTCTGCAGAGTTCAGTGAAGTACAAAAATGACTTTTACAAAGTCAGACAGCAACAGACCCACATTCAGTATCATAGCCTGCGTGCATGAAATTTGCACATTTTCATTTTGAAACAAAAACCCTTGCATAGTTAGTATTTACAAGTAAATCTGCACACACAAGAACACGGCAGACTCACAGATTAAGCTGCAAAACCAGAGAAGCATTAAATCCTTCTCCCAAGTAGTAGCTGAAATACTGTTCAGGTACAAATGCTGCATTTATTCCTTTAGCAGTCCTTCACATTTGATACAAGAATCTTAAAAATATTTGCGAAAATTAGTATAAGCTCCAAACAAGTCCACATCTTTACAGAACACGTACACAACATCTGATCCTACAGTAGTAGTTCACTGACATGAGCTGCTGCATCCCCCAGTACTCTGCTAGTGCATTCCTTGAGAAAATGCTGCGCATCCACCCTCCCCTTAGAAATATCAGTACTGGAAAAAAGGCAGGTTTATTGCTCTTAAAAGGTAGTAAATAAAAGGCTTGATTCCTATAAACAAAGCAACCCAAGTGTATAGATTGGAACCAAAATAAAAAAGCCAAAGCACCTTTCA